CATGAGCCCTTGATAGTTTATAAATTGGTATTTTGTCATATCTTGCCTTGTCCGACGTCTCCCTTCAACCACTTTTCGGTTGTCCCCCAGGGAAGAGGTCACATATAGTTCCTTGTAATCGGTTCCCTCTTAGTCTTAAATCATGTGAAATAAGTCCTTTAACTTTATATGTATTTGGTATTTTTGGACCATTGCATTTTCATATAAAATTTTGAATCAGTCTTTGGTTAGGAGTCCACTGGGCTATGTGTCGGCACAAAAATAAAGTTTTCCTTTGTTACCAAAAATAGAAAATTGAATCAGCTAATTTGTACAAAAAATCTGTTGGTATTTTCATTGACGGTGCATTTAATCAATTTGGGGAGATGGATATTGTAACAATATTGAATGTTCCAAGAGCTGTTTCCATATATTTAGGTTGCTTTGAATGTCCTTCAGTAATGTTTATAATTTTAAGCATATGTTTTGGTAGATTTGTCACTTAGTATTCCATGTTTTCAATGCTATTAAAATGCTATAAAACATTAAAACATTAAATTAAAGATGTTAATTTCCAGTTAATTTTTTTGCTTTTGTATAGAAATACAGTTGACTTTATATAACTATCTTATGAAACTCGCCAATTAGTTTTGGTGCATTTTTGGGATCTTCTTTTTGGTGTATGTATTTTCTCTGTAGGTGATTTTATTCATGAATAGATTTTATTTCATTTTCTTATCAAATGACACTGGCCGGGAACTTTAGCACAATGTTGACTTGCAGTGGAAAGAACATAAAGTCTTGTCTTAGATGGAAGCATTTGGTCTTTCAGAGTTACATCTAATGTTAGTTTTAGCTCTTTGCAAATGCCCTTTGTCACTAAGGAACTTCCATTCTGTTTCTAGGAGTGTGTCAGTCTGGGTAGACTAGAGAAACAAATTCATAGACAATTGTACATTAAGAAAGCATCCCAGCCCAGTTCAGATCAAGTCCATAAGTCAGGTATTAGCCCATATGTCTGAGATCAATCTATGAAGTCCCTTTTAGACTCAAGAAGCACATGCAATGATGCTGAATGCAGGAAAATCACAGGCAAGTGGGTGGGATGTCTTGTGGATACAGTGGTGTCGTTGTAAGCATTTCAGCGCTGGCAGGGGTCTCCATGTGGCTTCTCTAGCTCTGAGGCTCTGGCTGCCATCAGCCTGTCTCCATGTGGCTTGTCAACAACATTCTTGCAGGAACTGAACCTGCATCCTGCCTCCAGTGAGCTATTTATCTCCTTAGCACCTCCAAATGAGGTCATCAGGCTACGACCAGATTGACAGGCTAAACTCTACCCCTTCACTCAATCCTCTCTCAAATTGACAATAGATTATGTAACTGCCACAAGGTAGTTTAGTGTTTTTATCATAAACAGATGGTGAATTTTGTCATGCCTTTTTTGCAACTATTGAGACTATCATGTGGGGTTTCTTGCTCTCTTCAGGTGTGCTGATTGATTTTCTGATGTTGGACCAACCTTTAATTCCTGTGATAAACCCCTCATAACTTAGCATTCTGTTGTCCATAATTCAGGATTCCAGCCGCTGATATTCTATTGAAGATTTCTGCCTTTTAATGAGTAATATTGGTTTCTAGTGTTCTTGTAGTGACTTGGACTTGGAAAAAGACACATTTCAAGAGCGTTTGTTGTATTTTGCCAAATTACTCTAAATTTGCCAAATTACTCTATTGTCAGTCATTGTTTCATTAGTCTTGGGTCAATGCTCATTTACTTAGCATCAGCACTGAATGACTGACATCTTTTTTTGGGAGGGGAACAGGGAGAAATGTTTTGTTGGAATTTGGCTTTCTGACTTCAGCTAGCTATTCAATATTATAAAAACCTTATAAACATTTACAAAACTGTTTTATAATCTCTGTGTATTGTTTATGCATATGCTCCCTCTCCACCACCTTTGTATTAGTCTCATTGATTTCAAAGATACCTTCCAATAGTAAGGTTATTGTCCCTAGATTTTAACTTTAAAACGTACAACCTCATCAAAGAAAAATTATTTTCATTCCCTTTGGGCTTAATTCCTTGAAAATATTGTCTTTGTTGATAATGGTATTTTCAGGGCCTGGCACAGTGTCTAGCCCTTTGTACAAATTTCATAAATGTTTCATGAATGGTTAAGTGAATTATTTATTTTTTAATATATTCTTTCACTTGCATGTTGGCAGTGACTTATATATAGAACTTTAGATGTAGGGGTTTTTCCTCTAGAAAATCTGTGCTTGCAAAATACATAAGGTTTACCACATTGGATTCACAGTGATTCAAAAAGATTTTGTTGAGCTTTCTATAAATGTGGGCATAAATAGCTTATTTAGGTGAGTGTAAATGACAACAGTAGCACAGGCCAAACTTTGTAATTTAGACAGTAAATGCTAGTGGCTAGTGGTAATGACATGAGATTCTTTCTGTTCAGCATGGTATAGTGTAAAATGCTCTCTTTAGGATTCCTGCATGATTTTTACTACAGTAAATTGGAAATGTTATGGCTTATCTATTGAGAAGGTGAAAAACACGTTGCTTACCCAGGACTTTATTTCTGTTTCTTTC